ATTCTGTCTTGTCTTAAAAATTCTGAATGGAAGTGCTAATTCTAATGTGAAGTTACATTGTAGTTACGAGACTACAGTATTACTGATGACATCCTTACCTCTGTATTCAAAAATAACCTAACTTCATAGGTACAGGTTTGGAAGCAAATAGTAAATGAGATGGCATTACATTTGTCTATTGCCTATAAGAGGGATGTTTGTTTATCATCTCTGTGCATTTGCAAATTTAATGAAGTATTTGAAAATTAAAACTGCATCCTGTATTGACACTCGTGTAAATATTTGGCCATTTAAATGGTATTAGCAAGCTATAAACTTCTGAATGATCACTGTGTAGCTGTGGAGCTCAGTATCAGTATGTTAAAGGTTGGAAAAATTGATTTTCACTGACATCCGACATCTGCTAGGCTTTCAGAACAACAAGGCTGAGGTAAGGAAAGGCTATGAGACACAACATAATTTTCTGCTGCATTATATTTCCAGAGCATACTTCTAACATTGAACTGAAAGTAGTGGTGGGGTTATGCTCTGCAGTGGCTCATCCACTGATGCATATAAATGAACTGAAGCCTGTACTGTGAAATGAGTGCTTATGGACTTTGTCTTGTAAAAGTCAGGCATTCACAGCCCCACATCAAAATGTTTTATTAATTTTAAAGTGAATGGACATCTTGTGTCCTCTTCTTGGGTTTTTTTTCTTGAATAATAAAACACTAAAGAAATTACTTCTTTTCATTTTTTCCCAAGATAGTCATTCCTGTTCAGATTAAGATGCAACAGAACAAGTATTTCATAAATAGTCTGGGGGTTGCTTACCTTTTTAAAAAAAAAGGTACGTTTTCTAAGTTCTATGACAGTTTAGCTCTAACTCTTTCAATATAAATTACTCAATGTATGCCTGTCACTGACAAGCAAGTAGTATTATCTGCTTTGTCTTGCTCCTTATTTAAGTAATTACTAAGATTTACAGGAACTAGTAAAACAGAGCTATTAGATCAAATCAAAATAAACTTGCTTTAATATGGTATAGCTAGTTAGTTAAAATTTCCCTTTCTGCTAGGCACAGCTGGGTTTTTTTTTTCCTCCCTTGCAGCAAGCTTCCTTGATAGTAAATGTCCTTTCATTACCAGCAATTTTCTTCTAACCTCTGTGTCATTTAGCTGATTTCTGTCCTTCTGATGTTTCATGTTCCGGTACATCTTTGGCTCTTCATATTATTATGAAGTTTTAATTTGAGGGAGAGGCAGAAAGGCATGAACTGGCTGTGCTGGGTATACGAAGATGCTTGGTTTTGTGAGCGTGCTTCTGGGGTGGGGGGTGTTTGAGAGCTTGAAACAGTGTTTACCTGCACTGCAGCTAGTGCGGGATACTGGTGGTATTATCATTTGGTGAAACTTGGGAGTTGCCAGAAAGAAAAATCAAGGAAACTATTCATCTGGTTTGGGTTGATAAATAAAACCAGTTTACTTTGTGGGAAAGCTTGTGATTGTGCCAAAGTTAATAAAAAGTTGAGATGAACTTTGCTTGTTATGTTCAAAGGCGCTCTCCTTTCAAAAACAGCCTTACGTCAGATACGGCTAGAATATTGGAAGTCTCCTCACCATCAGTGAGTCATACGTGCTGTAATCTGTGGTCGGTGTCCTTGCATGGGAGCCAAATGTTCAGAGATACCTAAGTGTCTCTGGTCCCAGCTGTCCCTCATTTCTTTTATGTGGTCTTGCTGTGGGGGAGGAGGGAAGGGTGAAATGCTGGGGATCACCTTGGAGGTTTCTAGTCTTTTACAGTAGAGAATATTTTCATTGTTAAGTCATCCACTGTTGAGATCTGCTCAAAGTAGTCCTTGAATTCAAAGGAAGCTCAAAAGGATGAGGGTCTGTACTGACAAACTGTAAGAAAGCTTTTGGTAACATGTTTTTTCCTTTTTACTGTCTAATTATGCCCTTCCCCATATATGCTCATCACGCAGTTTGCCATGAATACAAGTGCTAACAATGGTTAGAGGTCATTGCTGCCTGTCTTCAAAATGCTAGATGTTGCAGTACCAGCTCTTGTTTTCCTTCTGATGTTCTGTTTCAAATAAGGCTTGTTGCTTTCTGAAGAACGGGTCTTTAGAAATCTTACCACTTCTTTGTGCCGCTCTTTGAATGGATCCGACTGTAAAAGAAAGTAGATTTGCAGGAGTTACCTCCTGCAAAAGTGTTAGGATGGCTAGCTTCCTTTAGTAGTTGGATGTTTTTCGGATCTGCTCAAAGACTGCACAAGAGTTATCTCATGTTGTAAACAAACTTACAGCTATGTTTCTTCTACAGTGATGCAAAACTAACAGACTGTGTCTTGGATGAGCCATGACGTTAAAACATTTTGTCTTAATTGACTCCAGTTCTGGGTGTCAAGATCCAGAACTAATGTAACATTTCAGAAGAAACTATATATCATCAAAATAGATGTATCCCTAAAGGAGTGTAAT